ATGATTATGTACGACCTGGGCTACCCCACCGACCTAATTGACACGGTAAAGGGTCTCTACAGCACCGCCAGAACGCGCATCAAAACGGAGCACGGGCATACAAAAGACATCCTGATAGAGCGGGGGACTGTGCAGGGTGACACGCTGTCGCCCATCCTCTTTATCATCTTCCTAGAGCCCCTCCTGAGGTGGTTACACTATGGCGGGAGGGGATACAGATACGGATGCCTCACAGACAAGGAGAATGATCAATTCAACTTCAGCTCCGGTGCTTACGCGGACGACATGGCAACAGCCACCAACACAGTGTCAAACATGCGGATACAATGCCGGAAGATAGAACAATACGCCAAGTGGGGCGGACTCAAAGTCAACGTAGACAAATGCCACCTGACAGGCATTCTACATGGACGACCAGACAGCGAACTTAGAGGGGGCCCCGACAGCAAGCCCTACCGGGCCACCCTTGAAAGAATGCTTAAAGATCAAATCCAGATAGGGGGTGAAAGCATCCCATACCACCCACCGGCCACGGCCTACAAGTACCTAGGCGTCTACATCACCCTTACGCTGAACTGGGCAACGCAAATGAAACAAGTCCGAGCCATGGTCAAAGAAAAGGGGGCATGTATTGAATCCTCGCTTGCAACCCCCGACCAGAAGCTACGAATGATCAATACATGCATCCATCCGGCCGTTGCGTACAGCCTATCCACCATGGCGTACACCCCAACAGACATTGCTATCCTTGACGGAATGATTGCGGGCACGGCCAAGCGCTGTTATCAACTGCCGCGCAGCTTCCCGACCCGAGCCACCCTACAACCGGTGCAAGCCCTTGGCCTCGGTGTGGGATCCGTTCGTGAGCTGTACATCAAAAAGGCCGCCCGCTGTCTCGTGCAATCACTGAACGACAGCGGCCGCCTAGGTGTAGTCTCCAGAGCCCTACTACACCTCCAGAGAAACCGTGCGGGGGAGATCCCTGTACATGAATTCAGACAAGAGAGCCGCTTCTACACCAACCTTAAGCAGCTTGCAATACTCAAGGAAGCAGGCATTGGACTCACAGACCAGGGCACAGCATACAGTACGACCGTCAACAGTCTTGCCCGACTGTACACGGCAACAAAGACGCCAACCCCCAGACAGAGGATCACACTGCGGATCATCCAACCACTACTAGAACTCGGATACGACCTGCATGAGCTCGTAGACAGGAATACCCAACAGCACATCATCACAACAACTCAGCTCAAAAACATTGGAGGAAACCGGATAAAACGGCGGCACCTAGTCGCCCTCAACCGCTTAAGTCTCGCCATCAGTTCAGCAACTTCGGGACACAGCAGTGGCCACATGAAAGCCAGCACCTATACCAGCACGAAACCCCTAAGCCCGGAGCACCGGAGAATCCCGGAAACACCAATCTTATCGGAGTTAATGAGGACCAGCACGCTGCCCAAGCCCATCGTAAGGGAGAGCATCCGACGCTTCGTCGAGCGACGCCTGAACGAGGGGGCTCAAGCTGTGGAGGAGCATGAAGACCACGCGGCTAAGGTGGACGATGACGACGCTCCCGAAACAACGGCGGCACATGAAAGGGTAGCCGACGGACCATACGGAAGCACGTCTGCGCCGCCGGAGGCCAACCGCAGAAGTAGGGGGGCCCGGCGGTTAACAAAAAGGCAACGCCTGGAGGCATACATAGCAGCAAATACGCGCACGGTGCCCCATGGTTGCGAAGAGGACAGGGCCGAGACGGCAGCAGACATGCCTGCTGACCCAGTAGGAACTAGCTGGACGTACTTCGGCCCCGACCTGTACAAGCAGCTATGTGCCCGGCACAAACGAATAGGGAAGACAAATACCGAAGGCGCCCAAGCGATGAGGGTGAGACGCCTCCCGTCCCGCGTACAAGCCCTTTTGGACAGCAACACTGGGAGAGAGGCCGCATGGATCGGGGATCATGCAAATAACCAAACACCACGCACAGGGCTTAACGTGCGCCTGGACTTACCCGACGTGTACGAACCTGAAGAACTCTGGGGAGAGCTGCTGTCGGCCAACGCGGGGGCCTCACCCCCTCAGGCAAACGAACATGCGCAACACCTATCCACATGCAGCGAGGACCAGGGAGGGAGAGACGCGGAGGAAGGGGACCGACGTGAACACACAGAAGCAGGGCACGACGAGGGACGCAGAAGGACCAGAGCACGCGGCAGGAAACTTAGCGAATCACCCCGGCGAGACTGGCGGCTTGCGCGCCTACAATGCACAAGGGGCCCCCTCCCGGACATGGGTGCCGCAGAAGGATTTCGTCTCACCACCGCCCTATTCTCCCATAGTGATCGTGTAACGAGGATCGAAGCAATTATACGGAAAAGGACAAGGCTACCACCAAGGGCAGGGAAGAAACGCAAACCCTACACACCTGACGATGACGGCGCAGACAGCATGGCAAACACAACGCAAGAACCATCACACGAAACATATTACCTGGTGCACTGGGCAAACACCATCGTCACCAGAGCGTCCGTGCCAGTCTTCCTGAGGCAAGGATATCAGCCAAAACGGACAGTAAGTATCAGCAGGACGTTTGGATCGGGGGCATCTAGCAGCCTGGTAGAGATAGAGTGGATGCCTACGGAAGAACCAGAAGACAGAGTCGCCGTACAGGATAACTGGCCACAACTCCTGGAGCAGTACCGCGCCGAGCGAAGGACAGATGAAAACACGAAGAAACGAAGGGAAACGACAAGGGACGCACACCTTACCGAACAACAGCGACAAGGGCGATGGGGACCGGACCCCGCAAACAAGACTGGCCTCCAAAGGCTGCTGCGGCAGGCGGTGGAGATAAACACCGAAGCCAGCAACCCAGATGTGGACATCCACCCCACTGGATCCTACAGAATCCAAGTTGGGCGGCTCCGCCAGCGATCCACCACTGACACCCACCTCGCCTATGTGTACGACCCACGAGGGCAGTGCATGGGAGCCCTAACCCTGAACCAACTCACGGCGCTGCACCATAGATACCTGCAGGCGAAGAGAGCGGACCCTGAGGAACATGCTCGACGCGCCGCCCCAGGCGGATTCCCTGAAGACATCGCCAGGCTTACCCTGCGATACAAGCCAGGGTGCCGATGTAAAAAGAACCCAATTGTCGGAGCTTATGAGAAGAGGCTAACGGATGAAACAATGGGGCGCATCAAGGCCGCATTCGCACACCCCGCAACATGGGTGGAACGCTTCGCATCCCCCTTTAACGTCGCCAGCTGCACAGAAGTCTATTACTCTTCCTTTGAAGAAGACATGGTCTTCGGTGCAGCGCATGATGCCTACTCCCAGCCTTTCACTGGGATATCCATTGCCTTCCCAGAGGCAACAACGCAGGCATGCATGCACGCTATACACTGGGCACTTGCATGGGCGCACGAGGCGCGCGGATCGGACGCCCCCACAGCGACCCTCGTCGTTCTCCCCCGCCAACCTACAGCCTTGTACAACACGCTTCTGTCCAACCCGCATGTGAAGTGGGTAGGGGAGGCGCCCCCCACCCACCCCGCGGCATGCTTAATACCGGACCAAGCAGCACTGGGGGAAAGCAGCGCACATGCCAGGAACCCATACGCACGAGGACTAGATTTCCTGCTGATAGGAAACCCCGCGGGCCTGAGATACAGCGCCGCCCTGCAACGAGAGCTTAGCTTAGAGAAGCCACGACATGCTCCCCACCCCCGCACGATCAACACGAGTGGGGAGGAAGAACATGAGCAACGCATAGCGGGCTGGAAGGCCCCCCAATGGGTAAAACGGAGAGTGCACCAGATGACAACATCCCCACCATCCCCACCTCGCCGAACAGTCGCCACAGAAGACCTCGACTCCACCACGCTGACATCCTACTACCCCGCAAAGGTGTCACTGCGATACGACGCCTGCAACGGCATTTACGCAGACGGCAGTGTGCAAAAGGATGGCAGCTTCAATCGCCTAGGAGCAGCAGCAGTAGACGCGTCCACAGGCAATACCACCTACATAGATGTAAACGGGGGCTGCCACGGGTGCCAGACGATAACAAGGTGCGAACTCAGCGCCATGCTACATGGGCTGCGAATGCGTGAAGGCACACCCGCGGCAGAGGAGGACCTTACCATATGGACAGACTCTGCTGCAGCACTATACCTCGTGAGAAAGGCTATCAACGGCCTCCACCAACCAGATAGGCTTCGATGGTGCAAGCATGTAGCAATTGTGGAAAGTATCGTCGAAATTCTCGCCCACAGAGCTAAGAAAGGCCTTAAAACATATCTCCTGAAAGTAAAATCACACATCGGTGTAACCTACAATGAGGCGGCCGACCAAGCGGCAACAAGCGTGGCGAGCGGTAAGAAGGAAGCCACGATAAAAGAAGAATGCGATAACAATCCCAGGAGCAAATACTACTGGCTGGTGTCTAAAAAGTCAGGGTACTACACCAACGACCTCAACGTTGGGATCGACAGAATCATGGACGACAGCGTTAGAGAAGGCTATGCCCGGCCCACTCTCTACACTGACCTCATTAAAAGTGCCCTCCCGGAAATAGACAGGAAATCAAGCACGAGAACACAGCAAGCCAGCGGTAACCGGCATGTCAAAATTAGACGGCTAATGTGCTACCTATATGGGTGCCTCTGGAATGCCAAGCTCGCACAAAGATACAACAGGCCCCTAGTAGGCAAGCACAATCATCAGGTGCGGAGCGCGGCTATATCCGACGCGAACGGCAATGAACATGCTCCCTGCAACGATACGTGATCGTGTAGAGTCAATAAGTAAGGTGTGAAAGGGCCACTGACTCCCTTATGTCCGCCTTCACGGGACACACGCACAGAACAGAACAGAGCGCCCAGTAGCGGGCTGTACGGCATGTACGATTCTCAGCGGGTAACCGCCCTAACCGATTACATTAATTAATAGAGAATGGCATACGTAACGCGTCACGTTACATACCTCCCCTCTTAAGTGGCTGATCGTCCCGACAGCCGACAGTACCAGTGCCGCCACGCAATTAAGCGCGTTAGAGTGATGTGGAGCCCACCTCACTGACACAGGCCAAAGTCATCAGAAATGCACCAAAACGTGCGGGTTTTCGAATCTGGCGACCCGTCCTGGTTTGCACAGGAACCGGATCAAAAGGAACGCGTTCAGCAGAAGTGTTGGACGACAGAGGTGTGGAACTGTTATCCTTACGGACAGTCCAGTACGAACGAAGCAAATCCGCGCAGTTGGTCAGATTGGCTTCAGGCTCCCAAGAGTCATACTCAGGACCCTGACCTTTCCAACGCATCAGATAGTACCGCTGACGGTGACGTTTGTGCTTGATCTCACGGTGATCCAAGACAGACTCAACCTCAAATTCCAACTCACCATCGACAATCTCAGGTGGCGGAGGCAGTTGCACACGTCCCCCATCAACATAGAGTTTCAGAAGCGACACGTGAAACACGTTGTGCATGCGAACACCAGGAGGCAAATCCAAACGATAAGCGACCGGGTTGATGACAGAGGTGACCGCATAGGGTCCAATGAAGCGCGGTAACAACTTCCGAGGTCCTTGAAGGCGCATGTGCTTGGTACTCAAGAGCACGCGATCACCAACTTGCAAGGAACGTTCAGAGCGCCTAGCATCCGCATAGACCTTTTGACGGTCCTGCGCTGCTTGCAAACACTGCTTGGCACGAGCGAGGGCTTCTTGCATACGAGCATGGAATTTCAGAGCCAACTCGTTGTACAGAAAATGGTGCTGGTCAACAGACAGACCACGAACCAAAGCAAGATGCAGATGCGCAGCATTACGACGCGTCTGCGCCTTTTGCTGAGCCTTCTCAGTCGCCGCCTGCTGTACTGCAGACTGCGGTGACTTCTTCCCCCCCAAAGAACGCACCAAATGTGCCTGAGGCGTCAGAGGATCAAAGCCGTACATAAGCCGAAAAGGAGTAGTCTTCGTCGACTCCTGATAGGCATTGTTGACAGCAAACTCAACCAGAGGAAGGTACTGTGCCCAAGACGCAGTATCACCAGCCACATAATGCCGAAGCATGTCCTCAAGCGTACGGTTCATACGCTCAGTTTGACCATCAGACTGCGGATGATACGAGGTACTCATGTTGATCTGAGTATTCAGAAGAGCACACAGAGACGTGAAGAAAGCCGAACGGAACTTTGGATCACGATCACAGACAACAGCCGTAGGAATGCCGTAGAGGCGAACAACGGTGTTAACGAACAACTGCGCAACCTTCTCGGCATCGTCAGTTGTATAGCACGGGACGAAATGTGCCATCTTAGTGAGCTTGTCAACAAAGACATAAATCGCAGTGTAACCATGCCCATCCTGAGACGGAGGCAGGTCGGTAACGAAATCCATGGTAACAACAGACCACTGCCGATCCGGAATAGGCAAAGGCAGCAATTTACCAGGCGACAGAACATGCTCAGGCTTCATACGTTGACAGCTATCGCACGACTTGCAATAGTCTCGCACGTCAACATGAACCTTGGGCCACCAAAATGTGCGCCGCACCAGGTGAAGTGTTTTGGTGACACCAGCATGGCCAGAAAGAGGATGATCATGACAGAGATGCAGTACCTTCTTGCGAAGATCACCAGCATTAGGAATCACCAAAAGTTCACCCTGATACCAGAAACCATCACGCTGCGTCAACGCTTTCGTGTTGGCAACGTCAGAGAACCATGGGTCGGTCAGATAACCCTGAAGCACCAGCTGCTCAAACTGAGGAAGAGAGCCAAGAGACTCTAAGGTGACGCCAGAGGGAGCCCGTGTACCAAGGACACGAGAAGCGCGAGTCTTCATTGCCATCACCGCACACATGTTGACGTGCCCGGGGAAACGGGACAACGGGTCAGCCGGATTGGTCTTACCCGCGCGGTACTGCCAATCAAATGCGAACGATTCAAGCAACTCCAACCACCTCGCCTGCCGTCGAGACAGTACCGGTTGTTTCTTCAGAGCAGTGTTAGGTTCATGGTCCGTGACAACCGTGAACTTGGCACCTTCCAGATAGCACCGCCATACCTTAAGCGCATGCACAACGGCAAGCAACTCACGATCAGTAGTATGGTAGTTCAACTCAGCAGGATTGAGCTTACGACTCTCAAAAGCCACAGGTCGCTCATTCTGCAACAGAATAGCACCCAATGCCACACCCGAAGCATCCGCGATAACCTCGTAAGGTAATGCCGGATCCGGTAAAGCAAGTACAGGCGCAGAAGTCAGAGCCTCTTTGACAAGCGCAAAGGCTTCGTCGCACGAGGAAGTCCATTCGTCAGGCCAGCTCGCCTTGGACGACAGAAGTTTCGTCAGGGGCGCAACCATGTTGGCATAGCCCTGAATGAACTTACGAAAGTAGTTAGCTAAGCCCAGAAATGAACGCAACTCAGAAACGTTCATTGGCTTTGGCCACTTGCAGACGACGGCGGTCTTTCGCGGATCAGGCTGGATGCCCGCGCCCGAAATGATATGACCCAGAAACGTCACAGATTCCTTGAAGAACTCGCACTTAGCCAGCTTGGCATAGTACTTGTTCCGCTCCAACCGCTCGAGTACGACGCGCACATGCTCCACATGCTCGTCCCGCGACTTGGAGAAGATCAGAATATCGTCCAGATAGACCACAGCGAAGGGAAGGTCCTGGAGAACAGAATTCATAGCGGACTGGAACACAGCCGGGGCGTTCGTTAGTCCAAAAGGCAGAACTTTGTACTGGTAATGACCAAACGGTGTACGAAACGCAGTACGCTCACGCTCTTCGTCATGCATCAGGAGCTGATGATAGCCCTGGGTCAGATCAAGAGACGAAAAGACAGTAGCACCACACAGGCGATCAAGCAGATCATCGATACGCGGAAGCGGATACCGATTTTTGATGGTGATGTTGTTCAGAGCACGGTAATCAACCACCATACGCAATGTTCCATCCTTTTTACGTGCGAACAGAATGGGTGCACCAAAAGGCGAACAGGAAGACTCAATGAAGCCTTGTGACAGAAGTTGTGAGATCTGGCGTTGCATTTCCTCACGTTCCAACACAGAGTAGCGAAACATACGCTGAGCAGGAGGCCGTGCCCCAGGCTCAAGTGGAACGACACGAGGCAGCCCGCGATCAGGCGGCAACTCAGCAGGCAATTGGTCCGGGAACAGGTGTTCCTTTTCCAGCAGAAGAGCCCGCATACGCAGATCTACAGGCGATTCACCAGGCACAGCGGTACACACCTTTTGTGAAAAAGTCGGAGGTGCCGGTGGCGACGATGGAGCAGGCGGTTGAGCGTCAGCCTCAGCCTCAGCATCCACCTTGCGAACCATACACAGAAGGAACTCATCGCCATCACGCTGAGCCTGTAGGAAAGCAAACTCGGCAGCATCGCTGGGCTGGGGAACGGGGTCAAAGGGTCCATTACGCAGCACTGGTTTACCGGAGTAAGCAGTCAAGCGCACACGGCGTTCATGGAACTCAATGATGGCACCGTTAGCACGCAGCCAGGGATCACCAAGAATCAGATCAAAGCCAGGGGCGAGGTCCAAAACCGCACAGCGAAGCCTACCCTTGTACCCTTGCAACCGCACAGGCACATTGGCAAAGCCCACCATAGGTACAGAAGAACCATCTCCCATGACGACAGAAGGCGTAGGATCGTTAGCCGTCGGTGCTGACACTTGCAAGCCGATGCGACGCGCAAAACCTGCACTAAGAAGATGCGAGGCCTGGCAACCAGTGTCAAGCAAGACAGAAGCGTCCGAATGGCAAACAGAACCCTTGAACTGCAGTGCAAATCCCTTAGAGACAGAGAAGGGAGCTGGCAGAGTTGCACAAACAGCAATGTCAGAAGTAGGAACAGAAACAGGGGCAGAAGCAGGTGCATCGTACCAAAATTCCACAGGATAGTTAACGCCACTCACGCGAGCGCGTTTTCCCCCCCTCCTAGCGGAAGCAGACTCAAACAGATGGTACCCTGCGTGAAACTCATGCAACATACGCATGCCAGCAAGCAAAGGACGCCAGCGTGCAGACAACCACTTAGGAACCAAAAACCCACCAGAGGTCGAAGTAGGCGCCAAAGCTTTGCACTGGAGGTAATGCTGCAGGAAAGACTCAATGTGATGCGCAGGGGCGTGCATCCAGACATGGTGACCGGCACAGCTGTCTTTCAGAAAGCTGCGACGTACAGAACTGAATTTTGGACACATGGCGTTGGAGCCATCGACAGAAGCACAAGCATCCCAAGTGAAATGCCGACCGGCAAGCTGCTGTAAGTACTCAAACTCGGACTTGCGAATGGAACGGGTATCCATATCCGGTGACACAGAAGCTTGCAGAGGCATACTTGAGTTCGTCTTAGCGTTACAAGACACGCGTACCGAAAACAAGTCCGAAGACGGGGCAGTGATAAGCGACTGCAGCCGTTTTACGCCCACCAAAGGCATAACAGAAGTCTTAGCCTTGGGCTTCACAGAAGTCTTAGCCACAGGCTCAACAATCACAGAAGTCTCACTTGGTAACTTATCAGAACAATGCAAACATGTTGCCTCAGAAATGCGAACAGATGCGGAAGCGATATCATGCGATGCGCGCAAAGCGCCAGAATGACCTAGACCACTGGTGTCCAACGCAGCATCAGGCCTAGTCATCTACTTCTTGTACCAGAAGAACTCGTGCGGGAACTTCGCACTCTGCTTGGGGCAGCGCTTGACGATGTGGTCGGTCTCGCCGCACAGGAGGCACTTGCGGTGCTTCTTGTACTGCTCCTTGAGCTGCGTCGTCAAGCCCTTGACCCACAAGCCGTAAGCCTTGGGATCGGCGCCCTCGGGAACGGACTTGAGGCGTGCAGAGATGGGGATGGACGCCGGGTCGAAGGCCTTGTCCTTGGCGTAGCCCTCGCCGTTGGGCTTGGACTTCTTGGCGTGGCCAGAGGACGAAGCAGCGGCCGAACCGTTGTCGCGCTTGAACGGGCGCGCCTCAGCGGTGACCTTGAACTCGTGAGCGCGCGACCGCAACGCCGCGACAAACTCCGGCCAGTTGGACCACGGCACAGCAGAGTTGTCCTTGAACTTGAACATCAGCGCCGCGCGGACGTTCGCGGGGCTCAGGGCCAGCGCATAGTTGACCCACATCTCAGCGGGAAGGTCAACGAGCACGCGCTTGAGGTCCTCGATGTGCAGCACCAGCTGCGAGACGTCCGTGAAATCACCCAACTTGGTCGTGCGGAACGTAACCACAGCGGTGAAGTAGGCCGTCTCAGCAGTCGAGACTGCATTCATGCGGAACCAGTCAGCCAGCCACTCAAGGGACGGAATGACGGGCGGGTTCAGCGCCTTGAGGTCACTGTGCAGCCGAAGAGCAAGCTCAGGCGGGTTGAGAACCGAGAGCAAGACCGCGCGCAGCAAGGGCGTTTCGATGGTCTCGTCCGGGTGCGCAGCGAGATAGTTCTCGATGTGCATCAGGTTATACTCAAGCAACTGAGCATCCGTCTTCAGCTGCTTCCGGCGCTGAGCCGAGAAATCAATCGGCGCCATAGCCTTGTTCGAAGCTGGCTTCGATGGACCGGCGGCGGCACCAGCACCACCAGCACCACCAGCAGGAACCTCCTCAACAGGATCCATAATGAGAACAGGCTGTACTCCTACGTTAAAGCGTCCAGAGAGCACGTCGAAGCGAACACGGAACATTCAATGCCCGCGGCCCCCGGAAAAATCTAGTCTCGTAATACCAATGCAACGATACGTGATCGTGTAGAGTCAATAAGTAAGGTGTGAAAGGGCCACTGACTCCCTTATGTCCGCCTTCACGGGACACACGCACAGAACAGAACAGAGCGCCCAGTAGCGGGCTGTACGGCATGTACGATTCTCAGCGGGTAACCGCCCTAACCGATTACATTAATTAATAGAGAATGGCATACGTAACGCGTCACGTTACACTCCCTGCCCGCTATGCGGGCTATCCGACTCCGGAGGCCATATCCTAGGGGGCTGCAGGCATTCGCTTATGCAGGCCATGTATATAAAAAGACATAACCTGGCAGTCCAACTGCTCACCCGTGCGATCGCGAAAGGTAGCAGTGGGGGATGCTTCATGGTCATGGACGCAGCTGCGAGGGATGCACTGCCTGAGTACATAGCTGATGACCGCCCTCCTGCGTGGCTGTTTGACGGGAGCGTGCCCGACAGTATAAGATTGAAGCTGCGACCCGACATCCTGTTCATTCCAAAGCTGCCCAGGCAAGCAACCGTACAACCGGGATACACAGGACCATGCAATAAGGCAAACTACACAGTACACATCCTTGAAGTTGGCTACACTGCAGACACCAACCACCAGGCAAAACAAAACGAGAAAAAAGACCAACACCGACAACTAGCTGATCTCCTCACAAAAGCAGGGTGGAAAGTCCAGTACACCCAACAAGAAGCGATCAGCCTAGGATTCGGTGGGACGATACGCAAGGACTTGCACCCGCTCCTTCTCACTCTGGGTGTCAGCGCGCATGCCGCACGCACATGCTGCGACGCACTACATGACAATGCCATCAACTTCCTCAACGCCATAGTGAAGCACCGGAGAAGGATGGAACGAGGCCTCCCCCCAGAAGACCCAGGAGGGTAACACCCACCTACATACAACTACCCCATAGCGGTGGCGGAGGGTGTACAGGGGAGGGGAAACCCGTTGATCCTCACCACCACCCGCCCCCTTAAACCACGCCAGGGCAAGCCCGGCGTAATCTTATTATTATTATTATTAACCCGGTCAAACATGCTGTTTCGAGGGGCTGGAGGGCCACCCGGCATCCATTTCGCGCCACAATCACGGCTACGGACTCCCCATACATAGGCCATGAGGTGGCTAAGAGCTGGGGTCGGTGTCAAGTCATATGCATGCGTGGCAGGGCCGAATGTGCTAGTTGGGCGGGGCATGCAACATGGAACCCGGTCAAACATGCTGTTTTAAGGGGCTGGAGGGCCACCCGGCATCCATTTCGTGCCACAATCACGGCTACGGACTCCCCATACATAGGCCATGAGGTGGCTAAGAGCTGGAGTCGGTGTCAAGTCATATGCATGCGTGGCAGGGCCGAATGTGCTAGTTGGGCGGGGCATGCAACATGGAACCCGGTCAAACATGCTGTTTTCGAGGGGCTGGAGGGCCACCCGGCATCCATTTCGCGCCACAATCACGGCTACGGACTCCCCATACATAGGCCATGAGGTGGCTAAGAGCTGGGGTCGGTGTCAAGTCATATGCATGCGTGGCAGGGCCGAATGTGCTAGTTGGGCGGGGCATGCAACATGGAACCCGGTCAAACATGCTGTTTTAAGGGGCTGGAGGGCCACCCGGCATCCATTTCGTGCCACAATCACGGCTACGGACTCCCCATACATAGGCCATGAGGTGGCTAAGAGCTGGAGTCGGTGTCAAGTCATATGCATGCGTGGCAGGGCCGAATGTGCTAGTTGGGCGGGGCATGCAACATGGAACCCGGTCAAACATGCTGTTTTGTGGGGCTGGAGGGCCACCCGGCATCCATTTCGCGCCACAATCACGGCTACGGACTCCCCATACATAGGCCATGAGGTGGCTAAGAGCTGGAGTCGGTGTCAAGTCATATGCATGCGTGGCAGGGCCGAATGTGCTAGTTGGGCGGGGCATGCAACATGGAACCCGGTCAAACATGCTGTTTTAAGGGGCTGGAGGGCCACCCGGCATCCATTTCGTGCCACAATCACGGCTACGGACTCCCCATACATAGGCCATGAGGTGGCTAAGAGCTGGAGTCGGTGTCAAGTCATATGCATGCGTGGCAGGGCCGAATGTGCTAGTTGGGCGGGGCATGCAACATGGAACCCGGTCAAACATGCTGTTTTGTGGGGCTGGAGGGCCACCCGGCATCCATTTCGCGCCACAATCACGGCTACGGACTCCCCATACATAGGCCATGAGGTGGCTAAGAGCTGGGGTCGGTGTCAAGTCATATGCATGCGTGGCAGGGCCGAATGTGCTAGTTGGGCGGGGCATGCAACATGGAACCCGGTCAAACATGCTGTTTTAAGGGGCTGGAGGGCCACCCGGCATCCATTTCGTGCCACAATCACGGCTACGGACTCCCCATACATAGGCCATGAGGTGGCTAAGAGCTGGAGTCGGTGTCAAGTCATATGCATGCGTGGCAGGGCCGAATGTGCTAGTTGGGCGGGGCATGCAACATGGAACCCGGTCAAACATGCTGTTTTGTGGGGCTGGAGGGCCACCCGGCATCCATTTCACGGCTACGGACTCCCCATACATAGGCCATGAGGTGGCTAAGAGCTGGAGTTGGTGTCATGTCATATGCATGCGTGGCAGGGCTGAACGTGCTGGTTTGACCCTGGATGCTAGCACCACCGCCGAGGGGTTAGATACTCAGTAGACTGTTAACCAGTACCCGTGGGATCGCCTGCGGGCTGTGTTCCAACACCCTTCTGCAGCGAACGATATTGCTTTTTATCGCTCTGTGAGTCCTACCCGCCATGTGGTCTACGTGCTCGCTTCTGAAAGTAAAGACATATGCGCCATGCTACATATGTCTTTACTCTATTGCAAGGATCAAACCTTTCCTATAAATGGTGACCCCTTCCACGCAACATAGAGTTTTTCCCGGTCTACATGTTAACTTTAAAACGGCGTGGCGTGAAACGGCTCTATGTAAGCTCCAGGGGCATTTTTCTGAGCTGGCTCAATTCAGGGAACCCCGCTGTTTCAGGCCCAAAATGTTATCCCGTCGCCCGCGCAGAAAGCCTTGATTCGGAAACCGCAACTTTGGCAGCTTGATATATATATGTATGAGGTCTCAGTGTGCTATTTGCGACTGTCGAACTCGCAGTAACGCCTTAGTGCGGCGGGATTTAAGCAACTGGCTCAAAATAGGTACATACAGGGCTATGTCCGTCTTAACTTAACGACAGCTAGTCCACTTCCTGCTCTTTCCACTTCTGCTGTTTTAACGTGTCTATTCGCCTGGCGGCACTCGCGGGCGTGGCAGCCAGTCCGGCGCGGTAAAGACCAATCGACATTGACGCTTCCAGTTGCAGCACCGTGTACTCCCTCCGCTGTGCATTAGACCTTTGCAGCTCACACCGCAGCATGCGGTATGACCCTTACGCAAGCAAAGCCTAGAGTTCGGAAAACGTCCCTCTGCCAGCATCGCAACCTTTGGGAGCGGTGATCCTGTCCTTTGGCAATCACTACTTAGCACTAACACTAGCACAATATGAAACCTAGTTATCTGTATGCTAAAATGTGACTTGCTCGTCGACGAGGGTGAAGTGGTGGCGCTGAACATAAATTACACTAGGGCGTTTAATAGACCATTTATGTAATAAGAGCCCATGTGAGGCAGTTGTGTAAGTCATGCACCCTATATATTCTGAGCGAGCATGCTCAGAGCCCGGATTCCGGGCCGGGACATAGCTGCCTGCTGGGAGTGCAGCAACGCGTTAAATCTGGGCCGTCATATATAGCCATATATTAAGCCTATTTGTCCATGCTATTAAAAGCGGGAATCTTGTTATTTATTTCCGAGCATGCTCAGAGCCCAGGTTCAGGGTGTGTCCCGCGACCTTCCACCGGGAGTGCAGCAACGCGTTAAATCTGGGCCATAATATATAGCCATATATTAACCTATTTGTCCATGCTATTAAAAATGGGAATCTTGTTATTTAATTCCGAGCATGCTCAGAGCCCAGGTTCAGGGTGTGTCCCGCGACCTTTCACCGGGAGTGCAGCAACGCGTTAAATCTGGGCCATACTATATAGCCATATATTAAGCCTATTTGTGCATACTATTAAAAGCCGAAATCTCGCCACTTTATTTCCGAGCATGCTCAGAGCCCATAATCCTGGGCTTTATTGCGAGCATGCTCAGAGCCCACAATCCGGGCGCGGACCTAGTGGGCTCTGAGCATGCTCGCATTAAAGCCCAGGATTATGGGCTCTGAGCATGCTCGCGATTTCGGCCCAGATTCTGGGCTCTGAGCATGAAATTCGGAGCATGCTCAGAGCCCATGATCAGGGCTCCATGCTCAAGGCACGCATTTCCAGGTATATAACCACCGTACTGGATAGGTTAACGTAGTCGTTGGCTCGCCCCTTTATGGGGCGTAGTCTTAGCGTTCGGTCCTTATTGTCCAGACCGAGACCTTGTGTCATTTTTGTACCGTGTACAGTACCGTGAACAGTCCTTTTGTACCTCGTGTATGTACCAGCACAGAGAGTATCATTTGCGTAAATAATAGTTATGTTGTAAAGCTGTGCCAAAGACGTTTTCGTGAATGTAATTTCTAAAGCAAAGCAACGCCAAGCGACATGCGGGTCTTCAGTTTGCCGACAGGACCAGGATAGTTACCTATAGCAGATACTAAATATATGTTCATAAGCTGAAATGGTTTTGCAGGAGGAAGGAAATACTCGAAAAGCGTGTCGTATAAATGATGTTATTGAGGGTTATTGAGGGGGGCGTAACCCCTGTAACCCCGTGGGTGTACGATGCCTGGAACCCCTAGGTCCTGCAGCAAAACCCATGCTAGGTGAAAGCATGCATAATATTAATGTTTTGGGCCATTTGGGGAGGGTTACGGAGAGTTTGGGCCGACGGGAACTTTAAGACGCAGAACATAAGCTAACAATTAAGGAAAGTTGTTGTTTAGTTATTACTCTAATGGTAGATGCGTACCTAATGCTGTAAGCTTTGGTTTATGGCGGTCGGGGTGAAAGATAACCCCACTGTAAACTCGTAGAGCGTACAGACCAGAGAGAAAT